AGGGAAAGTGTTCTCTTGGCAATGCTGTTTTTACCATTTGTATTGCAGTACATGTATTCTACAGAAAAATACAGCACGTTTTTCAGTGGTGCTAATTTCAGTTCTCAGTTAAACTTAATGATTCCAAGTAAGACAGAGTAGTATGTCTTTTTGGAGTGGATTTTCCTTAGAAAATATAAAAAATAATTTTAAAAAAAGTGGCAATCGTAGAAAAAAGAGAACTGTGTGGAAGTAATTTTACTTAACATTTCATCTTAAGAAATTTAGAGTATTAAATATTTAATTTTGCAAAAAATTACAGCATGATATTTTGTTTGTATGCATTAAGGCTATCAAAAACTTTCCTTTTGTATTTGGAAACTTATGAGTCATACCTTTAAAACTTGCTGCTTGAATTTTAAAACTAATGTTTCTGTCAAACAACAGTTTTATTACTTGACAAAATTTACAAGACACTTTTTAATGTGGGGCAACAGAAATACTGCTTGTATTGAATAGGACACCTTTTATTAAAATTGAATTTTCTCAGAATTAGCACATGAGTCTGTGGTACTAGGGTATGCCAGAAGACACACATATAGTTGAAAGCTTTGATTCTAATCTTAGGAAAGATTTACGGAATTAGAGTAGGAGATACACTTGATACCAAAGAAATGTGTTTTAGATTTCTTTTTATTGTTTGTATGCATACAACCAACTTCTTGCATGTGTTTACCTACACACTGTTCTGTTTTACATGAGCTGTAATTGAACACGTTGGCTCTTTAGATCTCTGAAGTATAGTTTAATAGTACAGTAATATTAGCATGATTGTAAATGGAGCTCTTGCAAGCCTACTTATGACAGGGAATATGGAGATCTATTTAATTCTATGACAGAGCAGCGCTAGCCTTTCCGCATTGTCTGCAAGTCAGAGTACCAGGCACAGTTTAATTTATAGTATAGTCTTTTTAAATGTAGAAATTAACAACAAGAACAAATTTCTGGGCTGTGCAAATGAAGAGCAGAACAACATATTTTTTGTAATGCTTAGATTTTGGACCTGATCACTTTCAAATTGTACAGAATTATTTGCCAAACTGGCAGAGAGCTTTATAGATGCATAGACTTTTTAAAAAAACTGTCTTAAAAATGGTGTGGATTTAAAAATAGGAGATACGAGAGAGGTATGTACGTGGTGTGTATTTGTGTGGTATCTAAATATGTTTAAAATAAAAATGGACAATAGATTTAGTACAAAGAGTTTGCAGGATTACATTGAATGGGAACAGCATGACCTATATTCTCTTGCAGTTTTGCTGTTTTCCCTTAGGGTGCCCTAAAATTAAACCCTAAGACATTTTTAGTTACAGTTTCAGACAATCCTACTACTTCACAACCTACTGCTGTTTATCAAACAGTGGCTAAGGATTGGTGACTGCCCGTTTACAACTGATATCCCTTTCTTTTCTTTTAACCTCTGTTCAAACTTCAGAACTGAGGTTCGGACATTCCTTTTCAAATGCATCCTAATTCATTTTAGCTTCTATATTTATAGATAGGATCTCCCCCCCGTACCCGGGTTTGCAGCTGTTGTTACTGTACCTCTTGAGAACTCATTTTTGTTTTGTTTTTTTTCTTAATGATAACTTTCTGAACTACTGTGCTGATTGTGTACCTAAGACATTCAATACTGAAAGCAGTATAATGTAGCCAAGCTGACATTACCTTTATATAGAGTAGTTATGCGAAGAAAAGGTAGAAATATACCTGATTAAGCACTAGGGTTATTTTGATCTGTGGAAAACCAGATGTAGTTCAGCAATAATTGTATTAAGAGACCATAAGAATGTCATATACACTTAACCCAAATGATGGATGCATTTTACCTAGCAATTCAGTTTCCATCTTTGTTTCCTTTTTGTTTTTTTTTTGTTAATTTGAGAGAAAGCACAGGAGAGGGGGAAAGGGAAAGGGGAAGAGAGAAAGAGAAATTAAGTAAGCACCATAGCCGCCTTCCTCTTCTCTAAAGCCATAAGACGACTGTTGCATTGTCTATACATAGTTCAGCTTGCTGCTTGTTTCCTGAAAAGTATTTCAGTTCTTTTTCCACACAAAGTACATTGTTTGTCATTGTACCAAAAAGTTTAAAAAGGAGTTGTAAATTTTATGAGTGGTGAATGCGAACCTTCCACTTCCATCTACACAATTTACCAAGCTAATGGAAAAGGACCATAATTCTTGTAGCAATCTTGGTGCTCAAGTGGTACATATTATGTGAAATTAAAAAAAAAGACAATCCACTATATGTTGCTGTGTTAAACGTAGAACCTTCAGAACTCATTACTTACTTTCTGTGAAACTTTATTTTTATAGGTATTGTGGCAACTTGACATATTTCGACGAAGTTTAAGAGGTTTAACTGGACATGTATGTCAGGGAGATGCATGCATATTTTGTGCTTTAAAGGTAAATAATAATTTTTGGAATTTTGAAATTGTCTTTCAAAATGAGGTAAAAGTAACTAATATTTACTGATCTGTATCTCTACCATACATATATCTGGGTGACTCTTAAGTCATTCTTGTGCAAAGAAAATATTTAGGTTTAGGACATTTGTAGCAAGTGTTTGGAAGAGAAATATTTTCTTGTATTTAAAGAAGAAATTTTAGAGTATACAAATTTTACCACCTGCTTAAACATAAAACTTGGTCTACTAAAAGACAGTATGACTTACTTGAAAATTTCTAGCTAGCCTCTTGGAGATTTTTTTTTTTCTATTTGCATGCATATGTTTTTGTTCTTTCCTGCAGTGTTTGAATACAGTTGCTTTACAATAACTATATTACTGTCTGATATACAATAACTATATTACTGTCTGATAAGGTCTTGCGATTCTTTTTTTACTTAGTAGTTCATGGTAAGGGTGCAGAACTGAATTGTTCAAAATTGTTCAGTTTGTAAGTAATGAAAGGCAGGCAGTGGTACTGGAAAACTAATGAAAGCTGGTAACTTGTTACTATTTGAAAGTGAGATCTTCATATCTTAACTAGTGCATAAAACTTGTGCTTTAAACAGTTTTGTAACTCATCTGAGGTCTGTAAAGAAATGTTGAATTCTGTTAGGTTCTTACTGCTTTTACTGCATGATATTTTGGGAAAGCTTGTAAGCATGGTATCTCTTTCATTGGGATCAAAATTCCAATGAAAAAATATGTAGGGGTGTGTATATATGTAATTTTTTTTTTTGTTTTAATAGTATGCAGTTTCTACTCTTACTGCAGTTTGGCAGTGAAGACACTTTTGGGATTCTAATACAGGACTGTATTATGTATCGTCTAATAGACTAGTAGGTATAGTGGTATACAGAACTGGGAATCACTCATCTGGAGGGAGCTGAAAGGGACAACACTATTTGAAAATGTAGTTCATTGAGAAAGTAGTTTTTGACGATGCTAAATTATAGGCAAGGAGAAGCCAAATATTTTAGAGTTTATTTTCAGGGAGTTTCACAAACCAAACCTTGTTACTAAATGAGCGTTTTAGGCAAGAACAGTTTGCAGTGACATTTATTTAATCTTTCAGGAGGTGTGTAATCTGTGTACCATGTAGGTTTTTTCAGCCATTTTTAGTGTTTATCATGATGCAGTATGGTGCAGCTGGTTTTGAATGTGTCTGTCTTTTTTCCAAACATATTTTTTTCTAAAAGATGCCATTTTATTTCTTTGGTTAGAGTGGTTAATTTTTAAAAGCCAACAAGTTGAAGTATGTTGAGACTACACATATTCAGACTAACTTCCTGAGGCGTTTACTCCAACCTTTTTACAAGCTCTTCACTCTGCAGAACTTGTTGGAACTTTTTGTTTCACCAGTTTTTTGATGCACATCGTGTCGTCTGTGTGATGGACGCTTGATCCTGTTAGTACCTAAAGTCCAGATAATTTAGGCATACCTGTTTCTTTCAGGTCAAATCTTACGTCTATCCTGGGATGATAGATTTAGTTTCCTGGAGTTTTGTGTGTATAGGGATTCATTTTCTATCTGATGTCATAATATAAAGTAAACTTTATGGCCTTTTCCTTTTGATTTGATCCATATTACATGTGAAGTTCTGGTCATATACAGTCTTGTTCAATGCTGCACTGGAACCGCCTTTAAGAAATGAAGAGGGATTGAATGATGACAATTGCTAGAATGTATGTTACACTGCATACTCTTAATGACTAATATCGCTGAAATCGTAGTAAAAAGTAATGTAGCAGCTTCAGTGTGCTCAGAAGCATGAATAAGGTAGTGCTCATGGTGTGTTGCAATTGAACCTGTAAGCAATGAATTGTTCCGTTCTAATGGTGCACTTGTGAAGACCAGGTGCTGCTTTTTTTTTCAAGCTAAACATACCACTTGCTGTACTCTCATACCCTCTCTCTCCCTGTAGTTTCTGGGGCTCCGATACAAAGTAAGGTAGGTTTTGCATCACTTTTAGGTCACCTTCTGAAGCAATAGACTAGCTTCAGCTACTTCATAAGGCTGCTGTAATTTAGGAATTGAAATTTTCTTTATTCTTTCAAGTATCGGTTCCTGAGGGATTGATTACTCCCGTGATGCATCTTGTGCGATTTGTCTAAATGGCTTATTGTACCTGAATATTTTGCATTACCTTGGACTGTCATGTCTTCCTATTTTGATACGTTCCCAAGAATACTGGTAAGAAGTGGTATTGCTGCCTGTTGTGAAATTGGTTAGAATGCAATTAGTTATTGTTTTAACAGTACAGTTGTGATCTTTATAACTCCATGGCCAGTAGCCTAGGTACTGAACTCAAAACATTGTTGTTAACTTATTTGGAAGTATCTGTCCTCAGTCATTAATGTACACTGCTGGTTTTGCTTTTCTGTCTTTTTAGAGATACTGGATGACTGATTCTGTTTGTTCTGTGTTCAGAACCTGGGGCATTTTGATTTTCACGCAGTGCATATGCTGGATGAGGATGCATTTCACTAACTTGTTTGTGACTTGGGTTGGGTTTTTGTTTTTGTTATTTTTGGGGAGGGGTGTGTCTTGGGCAATTTTAACCCTTACTTGTTCACCAACAAGGAAGGATGTTTTATCTGTATCAGCCTCTCCTATAAACTAAAAGCATAGCAAATAAAATCTGGTTTCCTTCTGTTCAATCCATTCTCTTTTTCTTTTGGTGGTGTTCCAAGAAATAAATATGCTCTTTTCTTCTCTGAATAACACTGGGATGGGACTCTGGCTACACAGGCCACTAAAATATTTGCATAAATGCTTATCTGTGCTTTTTTTTTTTTAGCTGGACAGGTAAGGCTCTGTTCCGTACCAAAAATGACCTAGCAGCCAAAATGAGAAGTGATAAATGTTTTCAAAGCAGAGTTAACTTGTATTACCAGATCTGTTAAAAACTTAACTTTGAATGTTTACATTGAGATATTGTGTAAATTTTATCAGTAGTTCATGCTTTTTGTTATGAGAGGGAAGTTCAAATATTTGACAGACACTTACCCTGGAATGCGTCATGGTTAAAACACTACTTTCTGTTAGCACTGAAACTTTGCTTATCTGTTGTATCTTTGCCTTCTGTCAGACAGATTTATTTTTTTTTTAACTGTAGGAGGCCTACGTGAAGAATGTATATCTTTATTTGTATTTACATGGCTTCTCCTATGTTTATTTGTCTTTGTTCTTTTCATTTTTCTCTAAAGCTTGACTTAGAATTCTTGAGAGTGGAATACACCCTTTAATATCTGCAAATGTTTTCTCATTGGTTTAGCAGCTTTTAACTTCCAGTTCTTTCAAAATCAGCCTTCCTTACTTGCTAAATGACAAAGGTCACTTGCATATGTATATCTCTGCTGAAAAAGAAAAGTAGTATCCAACTGTTTCTTCTTGGGGCTGTTCAGCCTGGAGAAGAGAAGGCTCCAGGGAGACCTTATTACAGCCTTCCAGTACCTGAAGGGGGCCTACAACAAAACTGGAGTGGGGTGTTTTACAAGGACATGTACAAGGGGTAATCGCTTCAAACTGAAAGAGGGTAGGTTTAGATTAGGTATAAGAAAGAAATTCTTTACTCTGAGGGTGGTGAGGCACTGGAACAGGTTGCCCAGAGAAGCTGTGGCTGCCTCCTCACTGGAAGTGTTCAAGGCCAGACTGGACGGGGCTTTGAGCAAGCTGGTCTAGAGGAAAATGTCCCTGCTCATGGCAAGGGGTTGGAACTAGATGATCTTTAAGGTCCTTTCCAACCCAAACCATGCTACGATGCTATGAAATTAAGAAAATCAAGTGCAGTTTATTCTCATGGTCTGGAACTGCAGCTGCTGACCTGTTCTCTTGTATTGTGTGCACTGGTTCAGCA